GCTCCTTCAGCTGGGGGAGGAGGCTGGGCCATAAGAAATGGTCCCCTCCTCTTTGGGCTGGGGGAGCAAGCCCAGGGCCCTGCAGCTTCCTTCCCCTGCAGCACTCTCTGACCATAACCCTGTCGCCGCCCCCAGCGCATTCCCACCCCAGCACAGCCCCCTCCTACTGATTTCCCAGTCTCCCTCTCTCATCGCCCCCAGCCTTCCCCCGCAAGCTTCCGCTCCTCTCCCTCAGGCCCCCCATCTTTCCTGGCTCTCCACCAGCACAGACCCATCTCTGCCTCGAGCACCTTGGCATCTTCCCCTCTGCTCTCTCCCGATAACCTCCTCTCCCCTTGGCTCCCATCCCCCAGTAAAGCCTGGTCCTCAGTGCTGCCCCCCAATATGAAGCCCTGGGCCTGGCCCCTGCTCCTTGCCTTCCTCCACTTCTCTCTTTCCCTTCTCCGGCCTCCCCTCCTTCTCCTCCCGTGAAGCCCAGTTCCTCTCCGGTTTCTCCCCTGCAGACCCTTCAGAGCACAACAGCTCCCCAGCCCCTGTGGTGGAGCACCGCTTCCAGCCCTTGGGGCTAGCAAGACTAGGGCCCCCCTTCAGAGCTTCCCTCACAGACTCCTGGATGCCCCTTCTCATCCCATCCCCTCCCCTAACGACCCTCCATCCCACCCCCCTCCGTTCACCCCAGCTCAGGGCCAGTGCCCCTTCCACAGGGAGCCTCCGACCCCCAACCCCCTCAGCCGCTTAGCCTCCTCGCTGTCACCCAGCCAGCCCTCTCAGCGTGGCAGCGCCCCCGCCCCCCAATCCATCCTCCCTGCCTCCCTCGCCCCTGCGATCGCTCCCCTCCCCCGATGGGCTCCCGCCCCCCGCCCATCTCCGCCGCAGCACCCCCCCCCGTACCTGGTTCTGGGGGTCCAGGAGCTGGAGGGTGGGGATCAGAGCCCCGAGGCCGCCCTGTCTCTGGCGGGTGGCAGGGCCGGGGCCAGCAGTGTCGGCCTCCTCGCGCCTCTCTCGCTCCCGCCGCGTCCCCGCCCGCCTGCCTGTCCGCCCGCCCCGCCGCGGTGCCGCTCGGAGGAGGATGCTCCGCGAGTCAGGGCGGCTGCTCCCGCCGCCGCATCCCTGCAACACCGACTGACGGCAGCATCAGCACCAGTACCCGCCCACCAAACGCGCGCATTGGGCCACGCTGCGCTAACGGACGAGCGGAGCAGCCAATAGGAAGGCGCAGAAGCCGCCAGTCCCGCTGCTCCACAGGCCCACCTCCCTCCCCCGCGAGGGACCCAGGCGTCCCGGCCCCAGGGCATCCGAGCTCTTCCCCGCCTCTTGTGGTCCTTAGCCCTGGTTCCCGGGCCCCCAACCAGGCAGACCCCCAACCCAGACCCAATGCCTTTTCCGGAACCCAGGCGCCCTACCCTCTTGCCCATTGGGTCGAGCCCCCGGTCCCGCATCACTAGGCCAGCGGGTCCATGTGGCAGCGCCCAGGGTTGGGACGAGCCGAAGGGGAGGCTGTGGGCCCCGACTTGGGGCACCGAGGGAGCAGGACCGGTGCGGGACCCGGGTCGCAGCGCCCTCTGCTGGCTACGCCCAGGGCGGGCCCGGGCTGCGGGGAGCCTAGGGAAAGGGGACTCCGCCCGCGGCTGCTGGGGGCTTTTTCCAGCCCTTAGCCTGACCTCCGCCTCCCACCGCCCGAGGGCGCCCTGGCTGCCCCAAGAACTGAGGAGGGAGGGTCTTTGCTGGGATAACGACGGAAGCAGTGGGGGAGGAAAAGGCAGAGATGGGGGCGGGGCAGACCTAAAGGCTTGGGGTTTCCCAGCCTTGCCTCATGGGAATCCCAGAGTTGGAAGCCTGGTTCCCAGTCCTGCCTGGAACCCAGGACGTGAGTGGGAGTGGGTTTAGGGGCAGGAAGGCTGCTGCACATTGGCAGGACCACTGAAGGGAAGCTCTTTTCTCCTCCCCCCAACCATGAGTTTCAGAATGAGTGTGGTGCTGGGGTGAAGGCCTTCCCGGGGGAGGGTGTGTGTGTGTATGAGTGTGGGAGAAAAGGGGCACCCCTTCATCCTTCAGCCAATCAAAGGTGGACCTGGCACCTAGTGTCTGTACCACAAAGTTGGGCTTCTGAATGAGGCTGTGTGTGTGTGTGTGTGTGAGTCCCAGACCATTTTGCCAGCTCGCTCCAGGACCCTGATTTCTGTTGCAGGGTCTGTGATCTGCACAGCTGGCGGTAGTTGGCGCTTCCTTAGCCAGTGGCAACATGCAGGAACCCTCACATGAGACCACAAATGTATGCATGGGCACACAGGGGCACACTCACAGCCATGCACACCTATCCATGTGCACACAGGGATTCCCAAAAGGACACACAGGGCCAGCTGCAGAAAGGCCCCACCATGGTAAGACACCCACAGGAAGCTCATGCTTGCCCAAGAACCTACACAAACTTGTGGACAGAGGTACCTACACACTCAGAGGCAAACGCACACCCAGGGGAACAGGTGCACACAGAGGACCTGCCCACAGGGTCCTCCTACCCCCCGCCCCCGGGGCACTTGGCACAGAGTGGTCAACTACTGAGTAGAGGAGCAGTGACAGCCACCCATCAGAGGTCTCCCTCCCCAGCCTGGGAGGGGGTAAAAGGGAGACCCAGGCTGCAGAGGGTGTCCTAGGGGTCTGGAAGAGAGACCCCTGAGCCAGGTCCAGAATGGGGGCCCACTCTGACCTTGGAGAGACCCTCAGGCTGGCCCCGCTAAGGCCACGAGAGGAGCCAGAGAGTGGCAAGTGCTGAGTCAGGGCCTGTGATGTGAAATTGCCTCTCTGATCCCACAGCCCACTGCCCCACCCTCCCCACTGCTCCTCTCCCTGCAGTGTACACACACACAGAGACCTGTCTAGCCGGGCACCAGGGCATAGATGGACAGGTGCAGTGACTCACAGAGGCTGTCTCTTGGACCCTTATTGATGGCTATCGGACCGGGTGGGAGGAGGGGAGGGGCTGGGAGGGATGTTAGAGCGAGCATTTGCCTCCTGTCCCCACCCCCAGCTCCCTGGGTCACCTTTGCCCATCAAGGGCAAGAAAGGTCACCTGGCAGCTGCTGCACCTCCCTGCCCCTCCCCCCAGCTACAAGGACGGCTCCTCTCAAGGTCCAAAGTTCAGACTACCTGATGGAGTTGGGACCTACCATCTCAAGACACCCCTCCCAACAGGCACCCATCCAATGTGGCCCTTCTCCCATGCGCAGTCCAGTGGGGACACACGGCGGAGGGGCAGTGCAGCAAATACAGCATGTGTGTCCATGCAAACACATGCACACACACACACACAGTGTGAAGCTCATACACCAAATTCACACATGCAACCATGAAAAGACAGCCACAAGTCACACTCCAGGGTGGGGCAGACCTGAGCACACACGTGCGCACACACACACAGACACACAAGCCCGGAAGAGGCCAGGCTGGGGCTGGGGGCGGCGGGGAGGGGAGCCGACCGGGCTGCGGGGATGGAGGCAGCACGAGAGGCGGCGGGCGGCGCAGGGAGCTGCTCTTCACAACACAATCGCCGTCTGTTGTTATAGCAACTCAGCCCCCAAATCGTGAAACGGATATTACAGCCTCGAGAGGGGGAAGGGCAGGCGGGAGGGGGTTGTGGACGGAAGGAGGGGCAGTGCAGTGGGGGACAGGGCTGGGACCCCAACAGGGAACGGAGCTGCAGCCGAGAAGTAACAGGGTGGGAGGAGGAGGTGACCCCAGATGAGTAGGCCAGGGGGAGTGGGGTCTCAAAGGGGGAGATGGGCATGGTGGGGTCAAGGGGATGCTGAGGAAGGGGGCTGAGGCCACAGCCAGGTCTGCAGCAACTGTACTTTGCCGGCAGGGGTTGGGGTGCTCAGGCTCCACTCCAGAACAACCCACAGCTGCTGCAGGACACGCCCCAGCTTGGGGCCTAGGGAAGTGGCTCCCACTCTCGGCGCTGCTGTCCGGAGTCTCGGGACCTCAGGGGCAGCCCGGCCCAGCTTCAGAAACTGCAGAAGGCCCTGAGCCCCTCCTCACCCAGACCGGCCTCAGAAGTGGCCCTAGCCTTCCTCAGGTGGCGGTGACCCCCAAAACCTCCGGGCTGCAAACTCAGGAGGGCAGAGCTGGGCTGGGAGAGGCCACAGGAGGCTGAGAGCAGGATCAATATGCATTTCCTCTGGAAGTCACTGTCCTTCCGGCTGGCAGCAGCACCAGGCCAGGAGGCTTCAAGCCCAAGGAGTGCAGCCCCCACCCGGAGGCTCGCAAGCCCAGCAGGGGCCTCCGGCTGCCCAAGCCCCCGCCTCCCTCCCTCCCCCACAGCCCCCACTATGGGTACTCCTCTCCCTCCCGTGATTCTCTGTAGTGAGCTCCCCATTGCGGGAAGTATTCAAGCATAGGCTGAAAGGCCACCTGTCAAGGAAGGGAATTCCGGCTGTGGGCTGAAGGCTATGGTTATATATGACCACTGGGCCCAGAAATTCCAGGTGCAAAGGTGCGCTAGTTTCAAGGCTTAGACCCCTAAGATTCTGGACTCTGTGAGAGTCTAAAGCCTCCCCAAGATTCTTTATTTTTTTTTTGAGGAAGATTAGCCCTGAGCTAACTACTGCCAATCTTCCTCTTTTTGCTGAGGAAGACTGGCCCTGAGCTAACATCCATGCCCATCTTCCTCTATTTTATACGTGGGACGCCTACCACAGCATGGCTTTTTGCCAAGCGGTGCCATGTCCGCACCCGGGATATGATGTGGCAAACCCCGGGCCGCTGAGAAGCAGAACGTGCAAACTTAACAGCTGCACCACCGGGCAGGCCCCTCCCCAAGATTCTTATGTTCCAAGGTTTTCTGGTTCTAAGGTTCTGTCCCCCAGGATTCTAGTCCCTCCAAGATTCTAGACGCACGAGAGTCCAGATCTCCCAAGATTCGCTGACCACAAAGTTCCAGACTCTAAGATTCCAGTCCCTGTGGTTACGGCCCCTCCCCCACCCCCCATGAGGATTCTAGGCTCTGATGGTTAATTACACGGGCCTTTTTATTCCATCTGGAAAATACAAATATTCACAAGAGTCTGTACAACCTTAGGGACACCAGCCCTGGCCCTGCCCTCAGCCGCATGCCACCCTGACACCCGCCCCCTGCCCCAGCACCCCAGGCTCCCTGCTCTGGTCGCGAGTCTTTTCTCCAAGGCAGGCACGAGAGTTTGATCCAGTCACAGCTGGGAAGAGAAAAACAGAAGTTGTAAGGGAGACCCTCCCCTAAAAAGTAGGAGCCGGCCTGGCCTGGGCCTGTGGACAGAGCACCCCCATGCCCCAGCCCTCAGGGGCACCCAGCTCTGGATGCGTGCGCTGTGGGAGGACTTACGTCAATTACAAGTGGATGTCAAAGACGCCATCCTCCACCGTCTGCACCTCCTCCTCGCGGATCTCTGCAGGCAGGGGGTCGCAGAGCCAACTCCTGGGTTCCTGAGTCCTCAGCAGCCCTTCCCCGACTCACAGGAGGCACCCCGCCCCACCCCGGAAGCAGACCCAGCCACCAAAAATCAATTCACTGAACGGCCCAACCACCCGATTTTTGAGGCTCTCTCTAAGTTTTCATTCTGCCGCAGCTTTTTTGCAGCCACGGATGTGTCCGTGCAGTCTGCTTAAGTGTCAGTTTGGTGTGTCTTTCACATTGCAGACCCCAGCACTTCTGGAAGGCTCGATGCAAATGGTTTTATCTTTTCTGCTTTGGAGGACTGATGCCAATCCAAATGGCCGTGGTCAACTGCCTTACACCCCAGCCTAACACAGTCGTTCAGACTGTGCTCAGCAAAATAATCACTTGAGGAATTGTCATTCAGAAAGCTGACCTAAAAATGCCAGAGACCCCCAAGAGAGCCGTTGGGAGATTTTCAGGGCATGGGACTTTTCTCAGGACAGCCACCAGAGAAGCCAAAGAGGGAAATTCAGGCAAATGGCTCACTAAATTCCCCCTCCAATCCACTGTCAATCCCCCTAACAAAATAAGAGTGCTACTGGAATCTTGAGGCTTCTTTCACATTTACTCTTCTTTATATATTAGAGTCTCTCTCCCCTCAGCCTCCAAAGGTCAAGGGCTCCCTGGCCACCTTCTGACAGCCTTATCTGTCCAAGCTTTTTTCATCACCCCACCAAAATAAGAGAATTACAAACTCTGGAAGGTTTTCCATCTGCATAAGTTAATACTTTGCCACAATGGCCCTGCCTTCCTCCCTCCACAGGCCAGTCCAGAATGAGACCCCCTCTTACCTGGAGGCCGGGAGCCTCGCCTGCCTGGGCGCGGCAGGGAGAAGCTGAAAGCGCGGTGGTGGGTGTGTGTGGGTGAGGGTGAATGTGCAGACCCCTCCAGACTCACACTCTGGGCCCGGCGCCGACACTCGACTGACAGGCGATCCTTGCACTGCTTGTGGCAGTTCACACCACAGGCTGGGGAAGGCAGATGGGGAGCTCAGCCAGGGCCATGGGTCAGAACACCCTCCATCCCATTCTGTGGGCCTGTACCTCTCCCCAGGTCCCTTTGCTCCTGAGCAGCTGCCCCACCAAAGCAAGAGTCTCCTTCCAAAGTGCTGTCTTCATCCTACTTGCCAGTCTATGCCCTCTCCAATTACTCGGTTCCAGGGTGGCTGCCTCACCAAAATAAAAGCCCTCTTAAAGGCTACTCCCTTCACATATCATCATCATGCCTCTCTGGCTCCAAGGTACTTCACTCCTTTGTAGTTGCCCCACCAAAATAAGAATCCCCACCCAGATAGTGATTCCTCAGAAAGCTCAGCCCAGCAGCCCTGCCATTCCATCTCACCTCGGCATTTGAGGCCCTGCTTGTAGATGCCCAGGATCTGAAATAGAGGAGGGGGGCCGTGCTGGGAGGGGAGGAACTTAGAAGTGAGGACTCTACTTCCTCCTTCTCAAGGGCAGGGACTGGGACTGACGCTCCGTGTTCTTAGGACCCCTCTGGGTCAGGCGCAGAGCAGCGGGAGGAGAGGCCGCTGACTCCGCGGGGGCGGGGCGGGAGGGGTGTGGCGGGGTGGGGGGTGCTCACCAGGGTCTTGCAGTGGCGGCAGGCGACCGGGCGCAAGGAGCTGCTCTCGTGGAAGTTGTGCACGAAGCCCATGCGGCCGCCCAGCACGGAGCTGGAGCGCATGAAGTAGGAGACCATCTCCTCCCTACTGATACAGCCGTCCCTGCCGGGGGAGGGGCGCCTCAGCTCGGGCCTCCCCAGGAGCACCCCCGCCGGCCTAGCCCATCCCCCTGGGGAAATCCCCTACCAAATTAAAGGTCCTCACGGAACTCCTGATTTGGGCCCAGGGGTGCCAGCAAGAGAAAGAGCACTGGACGTGGAGGCAGGCGGAGTTAGAAGCTGCTAGGAACTAGGTGTGTGGTCTCCTGCGAGTCGCTTTCCCTGGGTTTCCTCCCCAGAAAAATGGGGCACCTGATTCCTGCCCCGCCCACTCCAGGGAGTTGGTGTGTAAACTAAAAGGGCTGTGCTCTGTCCCGTGGGATTATCAACCTCCGCTTCCCAAAGTGAGCTCCTCGGAACCCCAGTCGGGAGCACTGACAGTTAAGAGACCTCTGATGAGTTTGGGGACCAGGTAAGACTGGGAAAAACGACACGCCTCTCAATTGCACAATCCTGCCGGAAAGACCCCTGTAATCAGGGTTTCCCACATAACGCACGGCTTCCACAGAACCCTTTTTTCACCTACTTATGTGTTTTAGGGGAAAAAGCGATGTGCTTTGGAGACAGACAGAGCCCAGGTCAAATTCCGGCTCTTCCATTTCCTGGCTGTGTTACCTTGGGCTGATGAATCGCCCTGTGCTTCAGTTTCCTCTCCTATAAGTGGGGATGATAATTCCTCCAGCTCAGAGGGTTTTTGTAAGGATGCAATGAGATAGTGCCCATGAAGTGTCTACACAAGCATCTGTGTAGTTCCTAGGTCAGAGCCGGCCCTTGTTGCAAACTTCTACCCATTGTATCTGGGGATCCATAATGTGGTCCAGCCGGCCCCTAGATCAATGGGGCATTGGGACAACTGACCATTTAGAAAACAATATTAACCTAGACTCCTACCTTATACTGTGCGTGAAAACTAAATTCCCACTGAATTGAGAACACTGACGTAAAAAATAAAATTATCAAAGTATCTGGAAAGACATGAGAGTAATTTTGTAATCCTGAGGGGTCGAGGGCCTTCCACACATAACACAAATCCGAGAAGCCACAAAGGAAAAGACTGACATTGAGCACACAAAACTTTTAAAATTTTTTATATGGAAAAAGACAACAGAAATGACAGACGGGGAGAAAATCTTTGCAAACACATTGGACAGCAAAGGGTTAATACCCATTAACAGAGATTCTGAAAAATCAATGTGAAAAAGACCGACAAACCCAGTGGAATAATGGACAAAGAATATGAGGAGGCAATTAACAGAAGAAATATAAGTGGCCGATAATCATATGAAAAGATATCCTGCCCCACCAGTATTAAAGAAATGCGAATTTAACCAAGACACCATTTGCCAATTAGACTGGCAAAATTGTAACCTTATTATAGCATCCACTGTTGGCAAGGAAGGTGGGAAACAGGCACTTGTCCGCTGCTGACGGGGGTGCGAGCCGGCACAACCTTGCCTGAGGTCACTCTGGCAGTCTCTCTCCTAATTTAGAATGTGCATATCTTTTGATCCAATTATCCCCCTTCTAGGAAATTCTCCTACAGAAATAGTGGCCTGAGTGCATGGTACAGAGATGTTCACAGCAACAGGGCGTATATTAATAGCAAAAAACCGGGAACAGCCTACTGTCCGGGAGTGGGAGAACGGCGAGGCAAATGCTGGGCCAGTCACCCAGCGGAAAACTCTGCAGCTGTTCTGAAGAATGAGGCGGCTCTACGTGAACAGGCATGAAAGATGGCCACGATAAAGGGTTAAGTGGGAAACAAAAAGAGCGAGATGTGCCACTCCACCAAGACAGCGATGAAAACAACAACAACAACAAACTACCTGAAAACCCTATGGCTACGAATACCGAGATGCTGGTTAAAAGACGTCAAAAGTTGGGGCCGGCCCCGTGGCCCAGTGGTTAAGTTCGCGTGCTCCGCTGCAGGCGGCCCAGTGTTTCGTTGGTTCGAATCCTGGGCACAGACATGGCACCGCTCATCAAGCCATGCTGCGGCAGCGTCCCACATGCCACACTAGAAGGACCCACAACTAAAATATACAACTATGTCCTGGGGGGCTTGAGGGAGAAGAAGGAAAAAATTAAAAAATAAAGGTGTAAATCCCAAAAAACAATTATTAAAAAAAAAAATGTGAAAACTTGCTTTAAATGCATAGGTGAGATGGCAAGAAAGAAACGGAAAGCCCCTAGTTCCAGAAACAAAGAGCAGCTTCCAGCTGGGGCGGTGAGTTGGGGCCGCACGCTGCTGCGGCTGCCCGGGCAGGGGGTTGCTGCTCTCCCTCCCGATGAGCCAGGTGCTGGGTTTTGATAGCCAATCAGGGGCTGGCCACAGGCCTGGGGCCTGCGGGAGGTGAGGAGTTAAGCTGAGACCCCTGCATGAAGCTGGGGCCTCACAGGTCTCCAAGGGCTGCACCCTCTCTGAAAGTGTGGCCTGGAAAAAAATCCGCCCAAGCCAGGAGGATAACACGGAACACAGTCTCAAGTCTGGAAGCAGAAACCAAGCAAGCACGACAAAGGCCACAAGCAGAACTAGGTTTGCACTAGCGTCCTGTTTGTCCATGAAACAGACACAGACAGACAAAATCTATATGGATTTACACATGCATGAAAAAAAGACTGGAAGGATACACGTACCCTTGTGAACAGTGTTACTAATAACTTCTAGATGGGAAAGGAGGGAGGGAATTTTCCCTTCTTACTTTATATACTTTGTTCACCATAAATCTATTTTACTATCTGCATTTTTTTTTTTTTTTGAGGAAGATTAGCCCTGAACTAACATCTGCCGCCAATCCTCCTCTTTTTGCTGAGGAAGACTGGCCCTGAGCTAACATCCCTACCCATCTTCCTCTACTTTATATGTGGGACACCTGCCAAAGCATGGCTTGCCAAGCAGTGCGTAGGTCCACACCCGGGATCCGAACCGGTGAACCCCCGGCAGCCAAAGAGGAACATGCGAACTTAACCACTGCACCACCGGGCCGGCCCCTAGATTTTTTTTTTTTACCACAGATTTTTGTGATATGAAAAAAGCCAGATTTTTGAAATACGGATAGCATTAAAAAAAATAAATCGACCTGGGATGGACTGTGAATTTTGACTGGAGTTTTGTCTGCTCAGCAAAACAGGGGTATGAACGTGGTTGCAGGGGGCGTGTGTAACCTACTTCGAGAACCAGCTGTTGTCCAAATTGTCAGCATGGGGATGGTTGATAAGTAAGTGGGTGCTGCTAATTACGGGCCTCTCTTATCTACTCATTAAAACAGGCTAGCCAGGAGTTCAACTTGCCCACACTTTTTGCCAGCTGTGAGCTCCACGAATAAAATTTCATTGATGTAGCAACAGTCCCCAGGCCACAATCTTTGCAAGATTCAAGTGGAGCCCCCCATCTGTGCCTCTGCAGCCGGCAGCGCCCCCCAGATAAGAGCCCTCCCCACACTGGGCGCCTCCTCGGCCGAGATGGTCTGATTCAGTGGCCTCATCTGGCAGAGGAGGAAACAAACCCGAGGGGAAGTGAGCCTGCCTTCCCTGTCCCCGAGTCCCCAGCCCTCCTCACTGGTTCTGGTCGAGGTCCCCAAAGGCGCTGAGGTAAGGGAAGTTCCCACGGATGATCTGGAACTCCTCCTGTGAGATGTGGCCGTCCCCATCGACGTCAAAGTTCCGGAACACGGACTGGGGAACACAGAGGGACATACAGGCACAGGGAAAATAAAAGGAACGTCGGTGCGTGCTGCCCACATCCCCAGTCCAAGTCATGAAGGACGCCTCAGATGTGGGTGGCTGTCTGTGTCCCCCATCACCTCCCTTTTCCATACCCCCACCCCAAGCCTACCCATCAGCTATACCCTGTGACATGGCACTGGTGGTGGCTCCCAGGAGCCCTGGCAAAACCGGCCTTGATTAACCACTACGGACCTGTCCCCCCGCCTTGGGATCCAGAGCCGGCCCCCCCAGAGTCACACCTCTACCATCTTCTCAATGTGCTCCACCAAAAGCGCCTGATCCAGCTTGGGTTTGGCAGCTGAGGTCCACTCCTCCAGCACGGGGGGCCGGGGAGGTGGGGTGCAGCTCGTGGGGCTGGTTGGCTGGAGGAATGGTCAGGTGTGAGCGAGGGCCAGAGGTGAGGGAGCCCAGGACCCAGGGAAGCAGAGAGGGGAAGCCTTGGGGAGAAGGGAGCCTGCCCAACAAGGAGTGTGGGTGGGGTGGCCTCTGAGAACTCTCCTGCCCTCACATCCTGGGATTCTCAGGTGGGGCAGAGGTGGGGGAGGAAGCCGATGGGCAGAGGGAAGCAGGACTCTGTCCCTCACCGACGACTTGGAGCGCGGCTCCCGCTGCAGGGACAGCTGGTAGAGCTCATCCTCCGTCTGATACTGATCCAGAGACACCTGCGACACAGGGTCTGGTCACACCCAGGAGCCCACTGCCCAGAGCCCAGGTCACAGGTCCACCCAGGGGCCACAGCTCAGCCACAAGCCCAGGCCAGAAGCTCGACTCAGGGCAGAGGCCAGCTTAGAACACAGCCCAGCAGCCACACGCCAGCCGAGCGTGCAGACCAGAACCCAGGGCTCGACCCCAAGCCCTCAGCACAACGCACAACCGAGATCTCAGCTAAGACTCCAGGTCAGAACCCAGCCAAGAGCTCTGAAACTCATCCCCAACCTGGAACCCAACGCAGCACCCAGAATCAGGCCCAGATTTCAACCCTGATCCCAGTCCAGAGCCTAGAAACAACTAAGAATCCACTCCAGACCCAGAACCAAAGCCCCAGCCAACATCTAGAACCTAGTCCAGATCTAGACTAGAGCTCAGCTCCCACCCCAGACCCCAGATCCGAGTCCAAGGCCAGCCCCGAACCTCAGAGCTCAGGACCGTGTTTAGAAACCACCCAGCACCCAGAAGCCAGAGCTTGGCCCCAAAGCTCGAACACAACCCCCTGCTAGGAAGTCAACCCCGGGCCAGGGCCAGCCTCCGATCAGACCCCAGCCCACAGCCCCGTCTGGAGCCTGGAACGCATCTCAGAATTCACTCCAAACCCTGGAGCCCAGCCTGCATCTCAGTCCCTTGACCAGGACTAAGAACCCAAGGCCAAGCCCGCTGCCTTGAGTGAGCCCACGACCAGGTGGGCTGTCAACCCTGGGGCCCGGCCCCTCACCGTGAGCAAGCTCAGCAGATCCGGGTTGGCCTGCACTGGGGGCTCGACGCTGGTCACCATGGTCAGCTTCTCCAGGATGTTGAAGAGTTGCTTCATCTTGGCCCCATTCAGTCGGGTCCGGGCAGGGTCCAGCCAGTCAGGCAATGCCAGCTGCAGGGCCACCAGGTCCTTGAGGTGCACACCCAGGATGGGGAAACAGAAGCCCCGACAGGATGCCAGCCGGCGCCGGTAGTTGCCATAATTTCCAGTGGCCGTCACTAGTTCTGTCAGACGTTCCCAGAGCTGGGGGGCAAAGGGCAGAGGGTCACGTACACACACACACACGCATTCACGTCACTGGCTCAACTACCCTCCCCTGCTCAGCCCTGGAAACGTGGGAGAGGATGAGGAGCCAGAGTCACGGATGGGTGAAATGTCAAAATCCTCCCTCACTGTGCCCCAACACAGGCTCCCTTAACCCCTGGTGGTCAAAGTTCATAGGCCATGAGGTCAAGGGAACACCCACTACCAAATACCACACCTGACACCGGGCCTGAGCACAGATTATCATCCACATTTAACAGCAGAAGAAACTGAGGCTCAGGGAGGCCAAGCAGCACAGAACAACGATCTAGAAAAATGTTCTGGGGCCGGCTCCGTGGCCGAGCGGTTAAGTTCGCGCACTCCGCTGCAGGCGGCCCAGTGTTCCGTTGGTTCGAATCCTGAGCGCGGACATGGCACTGCTGATCAAACCACGCTGAGGCAGCGTCCCAAATGCCTCAACTAGAGGGACCCACAACGAAGAATATACAACTATGTACCAGGGGGGCTTTGGGGAGAAAAAGGAAAAAAAATAAAATCTTAAAAAAAAAAAAGAAAAATGTTCTTAGCTGCATTGTTCATCACAGCCAAGGCTGGAAAAACCCCAAATGTTCAACAGCAGATACATACACTGGGCTGGACTTACAATAAAATATTATACGGGAATGGAAATGAATGCATGATCGCGCCACACAACCGAATATAACAATAAAAAAAGACAAAAAATAACATATACAACATGATTCATAGAAAGCTCAAAGACAGGCAACAAAAACGCCACACTTTTGGGGCGCATACATAGGTAGTAAAGCTACAAAGGTAAGCAAGTTCATCTTCATTACGAAAGTCAGACATTGGTTGCCCCTGATGGGGAGGGAGTTAAGCTCTAAGGTGCTGGGAGCTTTGGGGGCTGACAATGTTCTATTTCTTGACCTGGGTGATGGTTACACGAGTGTTTTCTTTATAATTTTTCCTTAAACTGTACATATGTCTTATATACGTCTCTACACGAATGTCACTCGATATGCTAAAAAAAAAATCAGAGGAGGAAGCACAAGCTTTGGAGTTAGGCAGACCGTGAGCCTCTGCTCAGCCGCTTTCATGGTGCGTCCTGGGAAAAGCATTTAACCCCTCAAGCCTCAGTTTCCCCATCTGTCAAGTGAGGACAGGAGTGCCCAACCCCCAGTGTTGCTGGGAGTTCTCAGGGAGGCCAGAGCTGGGAAGCACTGGCTCCAGGGCTTGACCAGGCTGCCCCCCGACCCCTCAGTCCCAGGCACCTTGATGGTCTCTGGGCTCACGTGGCTGTGGGTCTCCTTGAGGCGGGAGATGGAGCTGTGGCTCAGGCCCCCGACCACTGCCATCAGCGTGTTGAAGTTCTGCAGCTCCAGCAGCTTCTGGGGGACACACGGGGAGGGGGAAGGCAGTGAGCCACTGAACAGGCCCAGAATTTGGCCGAGCTTTTCTGGAGAGGAGGCAGTGGGGAAAGGAGCAACGAACATAGCCGTACTGTCAACTGAGGGGGTTGGAGGACAAGGGAGGGGCGGGCACCTCTGCCACGTGGACAAAGTGTGTGATGACCGCGGCCCGCTGCGGGGCTGTGGGCTTGCTGAGAATCATGAGCTGCACCCACTGCGAGACACTGTTGAAGAGGGAGATGAATCGCTCCAGGATGGGGTTGTCCACCGTGCAGCCGTGAGTCACAAAACTGTGGTAGTCCTGGAACTGGGGGCGGGAGCGGCCTCAGCACCCCCTCCCCTCCCCGCTGGCCACTCCTCACCCTCCAGCTGCCCTTTGGTGGTTAAGCTGAAACCCCCTGACCCACCCTGCAGCCCCGCCTGCCCGCCTGGGGCTCCCTCTCCAGCCCACACTCCAGCCCCGACCAGAGGCCCTGGCGCCACACCAGGATCTTGCAGAAGGAGCGATACTCCAAGAAAGTAAGATGCCCCGCCAGCTCCATGGGCTCCAGGTGGTCAAACAACAGGGACATCTTGCGCTTCTTCTGTCCCATGGGGTTCCGCTGGGTCACCTGCCGCTTCCACTGGTAGGTGGGGCTGGGGAGGCAGAGGCAGTGAGCCCTTGGCTGGAGACGCCCCATCCCTTGTGGCCCCACACTCATGCAGACACGCCACTCGAGCGGACTGAGGACCCACACAGTGCGAGGCACCATGCTGGACACAGATGTCCCCAGTCCGGCCACTCCTGCAATCTCCCCCTCGTCATGCACTCCACACACGTTTATGGAAGACGTACTCTGCCAAGCACTGCTACGCGCTGGGGGGACAGAGATGGCAAGACACGGTTCCTGCCCTTGAGGAGCTCACAGGCTACTGAGGGAGACAGACACAGAACAAACAATCACAAAACAGCGTGGCACGTGTACGGGTCTTTGCACAGGGATCTGCACAAAGGGCCGTGGGGGAACAGAGAGAAGGACAAATTCTGTCCCGGAAAAGCCCTGAGCCCTCAGAGCCCATGGACACTGCACGCTTGAGCTGAGTCTTGATGACATGGAGAAGGAGGCAAGGGACCAATGTGAACAGAGCAGCATGGTGGGGAAGGACACAGGGGCTGGAGGATGGCGAGGGGACCAGTGCAGCTGCAGTATGAGGTGAACGGGATGGCGGTGGGCTGTGGAAATGAGGCAGGAACCCCAAGCTGGCTCCAGACTACGAAAGGCCTCAATCCCCAGCCGAGACATTTTGAGGGCAACAGGGAGCCATAGAAGGTTTTTAAGCAAGAGAGTGATATGACCCTCCCTCATTCAATTCAACAAACATTTATTAAGCACCCACGGTGCAGGATGCCGAGTGCCCTCCCCAGCCCTCTGAGCTCCCCCCACGCACACGCTGTCGATGTCGATGAGGCTGCTGTGCCGGCGGTTCCCTTCTTGGTCCAACAGAGCCTTCAGCTCCTTGATCTGCTTGGCGAGCTCCGGGTTCAAGTCAAACTCCGCTGGGAATGCTGAGATCCAGTACCTGGCCGAGGTGTGGAGTCACCCGACAGCCCTTCCCCCACCATCCCCTGGGATCGTAGTTCCCCAAAGAGGAGGAAAGAGCCTCAAACTGGGGTTCCCGTCTCCCAGCTCTTTCCTTCCCCACCCGCACTGGGCAGATCAGGAAACCCAGGCCTGGCCCAGGAGGAGCGTGCCCGGGGCGCCACACCCACCATGGACAGAGCCTGGTTCAAACGCACAGGACCGCTCCGCAGGCCCGTCTGAAGCCTGAGGGAAGAGAGGGGACGGCGCCCCAAGAAGAAGGCTCACCTGACCAGGTGGCATGTCTTCACCTGCAGCGAATTGGAGTTGTCCTTCCGGGATTGTTGGTAGGTGAAGGAGAGTTAAGGAAAACCAAGACGGAGACAACTCCAGAAAGGGAGGCAGGAGATGGGCCCAGCTCTGGAGGGAGGCTGAGGGCGGGGCCTGGTTCTAGGAGACATGCTGGGGGCGGGGTCCGGGGCGAGGCTGGGGCCGAAGCTCTGGAAAAGGGCTGAAGGCAGGGGTGAAGTGTGAGCACTGGGAGGCCGCAGGGGTGGGAAGGGGGCTAGGTTCTAGGGGAGGCTCAGAGCATCAGAGCCGGGCCTGGGTTCTGGGAGGGAAGCCAGGGGCGGGACCCAGGCTGGGAGTGGGGACAGGTCCTAGACTGGAGGGAGGAGGAGAGCAAGGCCTAGGTTGGGGAGAGAGTCGGAGCGGGGCCCTGAGTCCCGAGGGGAGGGGAGGGGTGGAGCCTAGGCCCTAGGGGGAGGCTGGGCCGGGCCTGAATTCTGGGACAGAGGAGGGCCCATGATCTGGCAGTGAAGCCCATTCTCCGCCTGGGCCGGGCAGCCCGGCTGGCTCACGGACTCGGACGCAGGGCCCTTGGCGAGGCCCACCAAGGATATATGTGGAGCAGTTTTGCTGCCAGCTGAGAGGAAGGGATGTACCAGGAATGCATCATGAGGAACATGCGCACCAGCTCTGGTTCCCGCACCTTCCCGCAGTCATCTAACTCCGAGGGGTCAAAGAGAAGCAGGTTGACCCTTCGTCCTGCAGCTGTGGTCCCTAAAGCCGACCCCGAGCCTGCCAGGTATCCAGACCACCCCCGCCACAACCTCCTGCTTTCCCAGGACTCCAAAACCAGGAGGCAGATTAGAGAGAAAAGTTAGGGTGGGAGTGCCATCAGGCCGGATCCGAGGAACTGGAGGAGGGCAGCGTCTGAGTCCGGCCCATCGTCCCTCCAGAGAGGAACCAGCTGGGGCGGAAGGAGCCTGGGTTCCCGGGGTCAAGAATTCAGAGGTCATTTCCTGAGTGCTTGGGCGAAGGGGCACCCCCTCACCAGATAAGCCGCCCCCCATCAGCCGGAAACAGCTCCCAGGCCGGAGACAGAGTTCCTCCGGATCCCCGGGGAGACAGATAATGCTCCTCATGTGTCAGAGTCTGGGGACCCCCGTCCCTCCCTTCCACACCGGCATACTGGGGAAGGGAAACATTGTATCCTTCTGAAGCGTGTGGATTTCTCTACCCTGTGATGAAAAGGAGGCTGCAGGATGCGGAGCTGGGTGGGTCCGCGCAGGCAGGGCCCCGGGTTCAGGTTCCGGGCAGGGCTCAGGCTGGGTGTGCCCTCCCGTGCCACTCACCGAAGGCTTCGATGCAGCCGCGGAGCAGCTCCTCCACCGTGCAGCCCTTGTCCAGGTCTAGGGTGCCCGCCATGGCCGCCGGCGCGGGTAGGCTGGGCCGAGCTGCGCTCCGGGAGCCTCCCACGGGGCTCGGAGCCGACCCCTGTCCCGGGAGAGGCAGAGCGGGAGTCTGCGGAGGCGCCGGCCGGGGGAGCGGCCCGGAGGGCAGGACCGGGGCGGGGCGGGCACGCCCCCTGCTGGGCAGGGCCGGAGTCGGTCGCTGCGGCCACTCCGGGGTTAAACGGTCTGTCCCAGGATGGTGCAACCCACCAGTTGGGAAACGGACCCGCCGAGAGGCTTCCGGCCCTCCCTCGGAGTTGCGGGAGGGCCCAGGGACTCCCCGGGGATGAGGACGAGCCAGGACTCTGGGGGCTGGTTGGTGCCCCAGCCCCCGTAGGCCCTTCTCTCCTCGCGTCCTCTCCCCAGCGGCACCTGCAGCACCCCGCAGCTCGGCTCTGCGCCCCTCCCGCTTCCCTCCCTCCACAGCCTCCCTTCCCCCGCAGGGTTATTTTTGGGAACCCAGAGCCTGAGGGGACCTCGGAGGAATTTCTCCCTGGGATGGGAGGGGGGAGGAACCCAGGCGTCCTGCCCGCATCGCCCCCTCCGGGGCTCCCGGGGAGGGGAGGCGGAGCTGTGGCGGCCCCCAGGGGCCTGCCCTTGGGAAGGCCGGCTAGAGTGGAGAGGAACATTCCTGGGCGGGGGGTGGGGTGGGGGGAGCCCGCTGCGGCACCGAGGCATCAGCGGGAAGCCTGAGCCTGGGAACCGCGCGCTCCTAAGCCACCTCCTCCGTGAAGGCCCCAGGGGTCCGGGCTCAGCCCTTCCGCAGGCCATCTTCCTCCCCAGCTCGAGCTCCTGACCCAGGGCCCCAGACTGCACAGGCGAACTGTGAGCCACACACAGGCTGGACACGCTTGGGCACACAAAGAGTAGGGTGCCCAGAAGGGGGCGCTAGCACAGTGGGGGGGTGGAGAGTGCCTGTATGACCCCAGCAGCAACTCGTCACTGGCGGAGTCAAACGCATCCTTACAGCGACAGGCACTCATTCCATCCCCAGGCCAGGGACCCACATTGGGGTGCAAGACGCTCCAGCTCACACACACCGGGGCCTCAGGCACTTGCCGCCCATCCTCCGTCTCACACACACAATGGTACCCACACCCCGCGCACACCTGCAGGAAGGAACCCTCGGGCACCATACCCAGCTCTCTACCCCAGAATGCAAACCCGCTGCTCCCGGACCTGCTGCTCACTGGAGCCAGGCCAGCCTGGAGTTCCGCGGCCACAGTGGCGCTGACATCGCACACGCGTGCACACACGCAAGACAGTGCACCTACACGCATGTACCCTCTCCCACACATGCACACACCCCCGTGGGTGCGCACACACGCCCATTCCCCCGCCCTCCCTTCACCTGCGGTCCAGGGCCAGCCCTGAGGCCCCAGTGCCCTGGCAACCCTCATCGCGGACGCTGGCAGAGCCTGGCCCCACGGAAAGGTACCCGGCCCCTACACATACCCCCAGGCTGGGGGGGGGGGCGGGGCGGGGGCTCCTCTACAGACTTCTCTGGCGGACTTTTCCTAGGAGCCTCCCAAAGCCATCCCCACTTGGCTCTGCTGCTTCCTCGCTGTGTGACCTTGAGAGTCACTTGGCCCCTCGGAGCCTCAATTTTCTCATCTGTCAAATGGGAGGTCCGCGGGGGAAGGTCCCGCGGAGACGTGGCTGGGAAGAGCCGGGTGCCTCGAGGATGCCGCCCCCTCCCGCGGGTTATCCAGGGCGCTTCAGCTCTCTCCGCAGCTCCCTCCTACCCCGACCCGTGCCGCAGACTCCCCACCCACCCACCCACCCGCAGCCCCCAGCCAGCCCGCGCCGCCCTGGGAAGCCCCTGGGGGCCCGGCCTCCTCGGCCCGGCGCCCCGCCCGCGCTCGCTCACTCACTCTCGGGACCCGCGACCAGGAGCCCGCACCCGGCCCGGCGGCGCCACCTCCGTGCGCTCCCGCCCGCCGGCCTCGCTGCGGCTGCGGCTCCAGCCCGCGCTCCGCGCCGCGGCCCCGCTCCCCGCGCCCCGCCCCCGCGCCGGGCCGCCCCCTCCCCTCCCCGCCCCTCCCGCCCCTGCGCCGGGCTCCGCACCGCCGGCCGCGCCTCCCCCACCGGGGGCTCCCTCTCGCCCCGCACGCGGCGGGCCCTGCGGCAGCTTAACCCCTCCCCTGCCGCGCCGCCCAGGAGGCCAGGGCCGCGGGCGGGGGGCTGCGCCACGGGCCGCGCCGAGGGGCGGCGAGCCGCTGTCGGGCGCGCGGGGCGTGGAGCGGGGACGAAACCGAGAGCCTTCTCCCCCACCCCAGACGCCCCTGTGCCCCCCGCCCTGACGGGTGTTGGGCAGAGGAAGCCGGGAGGGGCAGGAAGCGGACTGCGGTGGGGAAGGGGCGCCCCGCCCAGCCCCCGGCCCGGGTTCCTGTTTTCGAGACAAACGGTTCCCACGGGGCTAAGCCGGCCCGGGGTCGGGCGTCCTCCTGCGGGCAGCGTGGGGCACAGGCCTGGCCGAGATCGGGGGCGTGGGGTCAGCGGGTCCTTGTGATGGCCTGGGGGAGGGGCCAGGACAAGATGGGAGCATTTTGGGGAGAGGGGCGTGCGGGGAGGGAGGAATGAAAACGCGGCTACCTGGAGACGGGGCCTCGGTGTCTAGGGATGTTGGGGGCAGCTCCAGAGCACACAGGAGGGACTGGGGCCCCGGAAGCCTGGCTCCCCACGGGGCTAGATGGGAAGGGGCAGCTGCAAGCGGCAGCGTGTTCGCACCTTGGAGACTGGAGGCCTGGAGGCTGGGCCCCCGTCAGGGAGGAACTTGGGAGGGGCAGCTGCAGGCGGTTGGGGTCCCCACAAGCCGGGCCTGGGGGAGCTAGTAACCGTTTCCGGCCGTTTGGGTTCAAACACACTCACTATGAAACCACCGGCCCCAAACCTGCCTTCCGAGACTTGCCCCTCCCTGCCTCGGGGCTGGGGAGGCAGGACCTCCCCCGCACCTCAGTCTTGGCGGTTCAAGGCCTAGCAGCAGGCCCTTTCTGGTCCTCAGTTTCCCCAAAGTGAGGGGGGGAACACTGACCCAGCCTAGACGGTCTGTGAGGGTCCCCCGCCCTAGCACAACCCGGATTTTGGACCAAGCGTAGCCACCTGCTTAGAGACCCTTAAACGCCGCAGTGGGGCGGGGCTAAGGGCGGAGTCAAGAAGGCGCCAACCACCCACAGGTTCCTCCCCCTCCGGAGCCCCGCCCCCGACAGCGTGGATCCCCGGTAGTGCGGGAGGCCTCTGCCCGAGTCCCTGCTCCCAGCCCCGGTGGGCCCCACCCAGGCGGATGCCCCGCCCCCGGCCAGGCTGGCGGGCCGCTGACCTAGTATGGACACAGCACTGGGAAGAGAGGCGTGGAGGGTGACGCCTGGAAGGGGGCTGGAGAGGCCCGCCCCGCCCCCTCTGGCCGCCCCCCTCTCGGAGGGGACGCACCTGCCAGGGGTGCGGGTAAGGAACGGTGACGGCGCAGCTGCTGCTGTGCCCGCCCAGAGCTAAAAATACTTCCCAACAGAGAGAGCAGGAAAGAGGCTCTCGAGGGGAATCGGTTTATTGGGGGGAGTGGGTGCAGTTGATCAGACCCATAAATAGGAGGGAAAAGGGGGCCCCAGGACAGGATAGGAGCAGTGTCCTTAGGCACGCTGGACACTGGGCCTTCGAGGCTGGGGGGAAATGAGGGTTCCAGGAAGAGGCTTAGAGATCTAATTCCAGCACCTCACCCTCTGGATGAGGAGCTGGGGCTGGCCCAACGGACTGCGAACAGACTCGGGGCCGGTTTTGTGTCTGGTCTGGACGCTCAGATCTTCTCATCAGGGGCTGGCAGGCGCTGGCGAGTGGGCTCTACGCCCCAAATCTCCCGGGCATACTGGGCAATGGTGCGGTCGCTGGAGAACTTGCCCGAGGTGGCTATGTTCCGGATCACCATCCGCGTCCACTCTCTCGGGTTCTACAGGCCAAAAGGGAGCTCTGGGTTCACGCTGCCAGCGGGGTCCCCACCTTTCTTCTTATCCCAGCCAGGGCCACGAAAGCCCTGCCAATCCCTAGTCCAGGACCCCTCACCTTGTACAGGGCACTGACTTTCTCCTGGCATTTAATGTAGTCTTCATAATCTGCAAAGACTTTAAACCTGGAGGGGAATGGAGAGGCAGGAAGCTCCTTGAGGTCAAGGGCCAAGCCCATTCTGTCCCAGTCGACTTCTGGGGGCCTGGACAGTGATGACACTTCCAAAGGAGCCTGGCCCCAACTGCCCAGGACCCCTGTCCAGCCTCCCCGCCGTGCCCAAGCCCCGTTCAGCCTAGCAGCCCCACCCGTGAGGCTCCCTGGCCGGCCAGCTCACCGGTCGTGGTGCATGAGCATCTTGACGATGTCCTTGAACAGGTCGGGCTGTTTGGGGGAGAAGAAGCCGCTGCTCAGCTGCTCGATGATCTGTCGAAGCTCGGGAATTCGGTCGTAGTACTCCTGGGCATTGTACCTGGGAGGAGAGCTGCTGTCAGCCGGGAGGTCCCAAGCACCAGCGTCAAAACCCGGGCCCAGCCTGCTGCCACCCTGCCTGGAGCTGCCACCCCACCCCCCAGGGGTCCTTCCCCGGAGGCCCTCTCCCCTTTCTGCTGAGTTTCCCAGCCTCCGGTGTGTGGATGAGGCACTGAGGCCTGGAGAGAGCAGAGGGGTGTCAGCGCCAAGGATCAAACCAGGCGCCCTTCCTCCCTGATACCACCACCGTCTCTAACCAGTGTGTTCCCACCGAGAATGGCTTTTCTCCCATTCCTGGCCTCGCCTTCAGGCTCCAGGAGGAGTCAACAGCTGCATCCTCAGAAACATCCATAAACTCAGACTGCCCAGCCAAGCTCATCGCCTCCCCGGCACCAGCTTCCCTCTAGTCTTCCACTCTCTGAGGCAGCACAAAGCATCCCTCGGCCACCCGGGCTCGAAACCCTCCCCAAGGCCAGTCGCATCTCTTTCCTCCCCTCCCCTCTTCCAACCAGAAACCAAGGCCACCTCCTCAACAATGTCCCTAATCCCCAGCACTGGCCTGCTGCAGGCGACTCCCCCTGCCTGATGGTGTCAGCCCCCACACCGGTGCCCCACCTGCACTTTGACCCCTCGACTCCGGTCTCCATCATGCAGCCAAAATTGTCCTTCTGGAGCCTAGTTCTGCACATGTCCGACCTTGCTCAGAACATTTCCCATCTCCCTCCTGTCCAAAGGACCGAGTCGGAACTTTCTAGTCAAGCCCCACAGGAGAAATTCCTTTCAATATTTAATGCCAGCTCTCATAAGCTGTTGGGGGGAGTGTAAACTGGTGCCAACTTTCTGGAAAGCAATATGGCAATATGTATCAAGAGTCTTAAGAATTCATACTTTTTGACTCAGAAATAGCCCTTTCTAATAATTATCTTAAGGAAATAATCAGAGATGTGGACATAGATGTAAAAGGTTGGTCATCACAGTGATATTTATACTAGTAAACGGGAGATCGACCGTGACGTCTAACCATGTGGAACTGGCTAAGTTACCACAGCATGTCCATAGGATGGAACCCTACACAAACATTTAAAATCTCTATTTAATGACGTAGAAAATGCCTCCCCAATGTTAAGATATCAGGATTCAAAATTGTACATACATTATTCCCAACTGTCAAAAACTGCGTATATACACACACACATAATTACGCAACGAAAAAGAGAACTGTGGCTTTAAATGTGGGTGATGAGACTATGGATGACAGTTATTCTATTCTTTGTGGTTTTGCATCTTTCCAATTAATGAGCATGTATTCTTTTTATGATAAGAAAAAAAAAAGTCATATTTTAAAATAAATTTTTAAAAATGTAATGCCAGGAACATGTCTGCTCTGAAGAACTGCATTTCTGACCACAAGCACAGTTGTAACTACTGTCCTCATATTTCCCTTTTCACCAGGGCCGCCAGGAAGCTAAGAATCTAATTTTACTTCCAATTCCAGAAATAATATAATTTCCTAGGACTGATATGATTTTCTCTTTCTTTGCCTTCAGTTCTATGCTACCTCTTTCTTTTCCCATTTCATTAAACCTTATTTGTTATAAGTTACCACGAAGGTTTTCCAGAATCCTGATGGCCATAACTAAAGACTTTGTGCAGCCTGGACTCTTAGCCCTAGCCTCCAGCAGCCACACTTCAGTGCCTCTTGCCCATGGACTGTGAACTTTGGAGCTCTTGACCCCCGTACCCTCTCTGGTCAAGCCTGTCCACGTCTTCCACCCGCATGCCGAAGATGAAGAAATTCTCCTCTCCCGCCTCCTCTGCCATCTCCACGTTGGCCCCGTCCATGGTGCCAATGGTCAGAGCCCCATTGAGCATGAATTTCATGTTGCCAGTGCCTGAGGCCTCCGTGCCCGCAGTGGAGATCTGCTCGGACAGGTCGGCAGCCGGGATCACTGTGGGGCGGCGGCAAGGGACAAGCTCAGCTCCAGGAAGAGCCCCACTCCCGCTGAGAACTCTGGAGTCAGGTCGGCCCTCCAGGTAGCCAGATTCAGGGTCCCCTCCACCCCAGCCCGCCAGTCTTCACCAGCTGAGTCTCCCTCCCGCTGCCCCTCCCCCACACCTCTTGTTAATTCTTGAACGCCTGGGATCCAACCTGCCCTCCCCACCCCCAGCCCCACTGTGTAACTTGAGGGGCACCAACAGGCCCATCTTTCCTGCAATTTCACCCTGTACTGCCTGAAATTCCACCATTAGGGGGACATCTTCATGATTGGAGCATTGTCCCCTCCAGATTCTTCCTTACGGTGCAAGTACCCCAGGAGGGGGTGACTAATACCTCGTTCTGGGCCTGAACTAATCAGAGCACCCCTAGGGTCCTCACTGGCAGCACCCGACCTTTCTCAGCCAGCGAGACTCGGTAGTTCTCCAGGAAGATCACACGCAGGCGGTCTCCCACCACCGGGTCGTGGTTGACCACGTCTCCAATGGCTGTAATGAGTTTGATGATCATCTTGGCCATGTGGTACCCAG